CTTTTTTTTTCTTTTTGACCTTTCACTGTACCTTTTCCTTTGCTTATTAAAACACGTAGAATCACAAATAATGTTATAAACAACCATGTTTACTTTATTATTCCCCTATTATCACTTGATCCATTACTTTTTGAGTGTAGTCCCTATGGGAGATGACTTTTTCTCAAATCTGGATTCTACATTCCTGTCTTTTGCGAGCAATATCGCCGTTATTTCCGTTTGGTTTTTGTTGATTTTGGAGTATGTTGTAGCTGAGACTATATGCTATCTAAATGTTCCCTCATTTTTTTTCAATCAGATGTCATCATGGTCTGTTGATGATCATCATCAACATCATCATGATCATCATCATCATCATCAACATCGTCATCACCATTACTATCAAGATCATCATCATCATGATCATCATGATGATCATCATTGTTTACATGTCTATATAACTTCTCCCTTTCTCAATATAGTAAGTATTATAATCTATCATAAGACTTGAAGACAGACCACCTTAATCGTCCTCGTGACGATTTAAATTCTAGTTAGGTGGGCTGTATCTAATACAGACCACCTTATAATTTTGTTAAAATTGCCTTTATTATTATTATTATTATTTATTATTTATTTTTCTTATTTCGACCCACTTTTTTGTGTTCAAGATAATTTGAAAATGGCTCAATCAAATATCTTAAAATTTAAGACACATATGTATAGGCATATTCACAAAACACAGCAAATTTTTCGAACTTGACCTTGACTGATGACGTCATCTAGGCGCCATTTTGTGAACAATTTTGAAAATCAACTTATGATCATATCTTCATAACCAAAAGTAATATCTCATTCATATTTATCATGATCAAGGTCAATATCAGTCCGGTCAAATTCAGGTCAAAAAACGCGCGCGTGCGCGTACGTCCGCGCGTCATTACGCGCGCAAAAATTTTAAATGCTCGAAATCGTCTTAAATTTTTTTTGCATACGTTTCAGGTCATTTTAAGCATTTTATAAAAAATCGCGCGCACGAGCATGCGCGCGCGTTTTCGCGCGTTACACCATTACACAACATAGAATCGCCATTTTTTTTTCTTTCATGATATTTCTCATATTTTTTCGAGGAATTTGATACCATGTTTATCTCTTTATGTCCATAAACAACAAGATGAGCGTCAATTCAAGAAAAATGCCCGTGCGCGCGAGCTCTTTTAATACATAGCATATATGGGCAAAAACATGCCTATACAAAATCCATTATAGCTCTTTGGAATGAACCGTGACCTTCAATTTTTTTCATATTTAGATAGAGTATGAGTCGAAGATATGATTCCATGTCTCATTTGGCCATTAAGTGTATCGTGACATCATCATAATGGCCTTGGATCTCAAAATACGAATTTGCATATTATGAAGTCAGCATATTTATGTAAAATTGATTGTATCTCTGTAAATATTTATCGATTTTCTTCCAAATTTCGATATGATGTAGCTTAGACAATTTTCTACAAGCTCAGTCATCACCATTTTTCATTTTGATGACGTCATCATAGTGAAAATTACGATTAAAGGGCACATATCAGAAATGTCTTAAGTAGCGTGTTATGCCTATTGAAGGTGAATTTCGTACATCTTTAATCTACATGACATTGTTTTTTTAGCAGTATCTCGCTTATTTTTGCTCTATTTTGTCTCAAAGTTCAGTTTGACCAGCCCACCTATACTTGTTCCAAACAAGTATTATATGTCTAGTTATTATTTATTTTTATTTTCCGCACTTTTTTGTGTAGAGGATAACTCAAGATCGGTTAAATCAATTTCGTTCAATTTTGACACAGTTATAGGTCATTGTCATGAGACGTGACAGTAACATTTTCAAGGTCATCAAATCTTCATGACGTCATCCAGGCGCCATTTTGTGTTTTTTGGGGTACTTTTTATTCATGATCATATCTTCATAACGGATAGGCATTTCTCATTCATATTTATCATGATTAAGGTCAATATTCGTCCGGTCAATTTCAGGTCAAAAAACGCGCGCGCATGCATACGTCCGCGCGTCAGCGCGCGCGCAAAAATAAAAATGCTCAAAATCGTCTCAAATTCATTTTGCATACGTTTCAGGCCATTTTAAGCATTTTGCAAAAAAAAACGCGCACACGCGCATGCGCGCGCGTTTTCGCACGTAATGGCATTTTCCAACATAGAATCGCCAAATTTTCTGTCTCATCATATTTGGCACATTTTTCCAAGCATTGTGATACCTTGTTCACCTTTTTCTGCCCATTAATAACGGAATGAGCGTCCGTTTAAGATAATTACCGTGCGTACGAGCTCTTGTAATACATAGCATACATGGGCAAAAACATGCCTATACAAAATCCATTGTAGCGCTTTAGAATGCAAGGTGACCCCAAGTTTTTATTCATATTTTGATAGAGTATGAATCGGAGATATGATTTCATGTCTCATTTGACCCTCAATTAACTCATGACGTCATCATAATTGCCTCCGAACTCAAAATTTCAATTTGCATATTATGACGTCATCATAGTTTTGGAAAATTGATTGTATCTCTGTAAATGTTGATCGATTTACTTCCAAATTTTGATATGTTCTACCTGAGAATATTATCTACAAATGCGGTCACAACAATATTTCATTTTGACAAAGGTATCTTGGCGTATTTTTGCGATTAAAGGAGGCATGTCAATTTTTCACATTTTGCGTGTATTCTCTAGGGGACATGACTTTTTCTCAAAACTGGATTCTACATTCTCGTCTTTGGCGAGCAATATCTCCGTCGTTTTATCTTTGTTTACGCTGAGCTTTGAGTATGTTGTAGCTGAGACAATAAGCTATCACGAGTGTTCCCTTTATTTTTCGATCAGATGCCGGGATCATGCTCATATTCCACTTGCAAAGTAGGATTTGAGAATTTCATTTTCCGTTTACGTGTAATCGCTATGGGAAATGTTTTGGTATATCGGTAACGCACTTGACTTCGGACCTCGAGATCCCTGGTTCGAGTCCGGGAGTCTCCAACAATTTTTTTTCTTCACTTTTTTGACTTTTCAATGATCATAAAATTGAAAACAGACCACCTAATTCGTCCCCATGACGAATTAAATTTCTAGTTATTATTTATTTTTATTTTCCGCACTTTTTTGTGTAGAGGATAACTCAAGATCGGTTAAATCAATTTCGTTCAATTTTGACACAGTTATAGGTCATTGTCATGAGACGTGACAGTAACATTTTCAAGGTCATCAAATCTTCATGACGTCATCCAGGCGCCATTTTGTGTTTTTTGGGGTACTTTTTATTCATGATCATATCTTCATAACGGATAGGCATTTCTCATTCATATTTATCATGATTAAGGTCAATATTCGTCCGGTCAATTTCAGGTCAAAAAACGCGCGCGCATGCATACGTCCGCGCGTCAGCGCGCGCGCAAAAATAAAAATGCTCAAAATCGTCTCAAATTCATTTTGCATACGTTTCAGGCCATTTTAAGCATTTTGCAAAAAAAACGCGCACACGCGCATGCGCGCGCGTTTTCGCACGTAATGGCATTTTCCAACATAGAATCGCCAAATTTTCTGTCTCATCATATTTGGCACATTTTTCCAAGCATTGTGATACCTTGTTCACCTTTTTCTGCCCATTAATAACGGAATGAGCGTCCGTTTAAGATAATTACCGTGCGTACGAGCTCTTGTAATACATAGCATACATGGGCAAAAACATGCCTATACAAAATCCATTGTAGCGCTTTAGAATGCAAGGTGACCCCAAGTTTTTATTCATATTTTGATAGAGTATGAATCGGAGATATGATTTCATGTCTCATTTGACCCTCAATTAACTCATGACGTCATCATAATTGCCTCCGAACTCAAAATTTCAATTTGCATATTATGACGTCATCATAGTTTTGGAAAATTGATTGTATCTCTGTAAATGTTGATCGATTTACTTCCAAATTTTGATATGTTCTACCTGAGAATATTATCTACAAATGCGGTGCCAACAATTTTTCATTTTGACAAAGGTATCATGGCGTATTTTTGCGATTAAAGGAGGCATGTCAATTTTTCACATTTTGCGTGTATTCTCTATGGGACATGACTTTTTCTCAAAACTGGATTCTACATTCTCGTCTTTGGCGAGCAATATCTCCGTCGTTTTATCTTTGTTTACGCTGAGCTTTGAGTATGTTGTAGCTGAGACAATAAGCTATCGCAAGTGTGCCCATCATTTTTCGATCAGATGCCGGGATCATGCTCATATTCCACTTGCAAAGTAGGATTTGAGAATTTCATTTTCCGTTTACGTGTAATCGCTATGGGAAATGTTTTGGTATATCGGTAACGCACTTGACTTCGGACCTTGAGATCCCTGGTTCGAGTCCGGGAGTCTCCAACAATTTTTTTTTTCATTTTTTTTCTTTTTTGACTTTTCAATGATCATAAAATTGAAAACAGACCACCTAATTCGTCCCCATGACGAATTAAATTTCTAGTTTATTCTTTATTTTTATTTATTTCCTACACTTTTTTGTGCCTAGGATAACTCAAGTTCGGTTTAGTCAATTCGATTCAATTTTGGCACAATCATAGGTCATTGTCATGAGACGTGACAGGAACATTTTCAAGGTCATCAAGTCTTCATGACGTCATCCAGGCGCCATTTTTTTTTTTTTTGTACTTTCAACTCATGATCATATCTTCATAACGGAAAGGCATTTCTTATTCATATTTATCATGATTAAGGTCAATATCCGTCCGGTCAATTTCAGGTCAAAAAACGCGCGCGCATGCGTACTTCCGCGAGCGCGCAAAAAATAAAAATGCTCCAAATCCTCTCAAATTCATTTTGCATACGTTTCAGGCCATTTAAAGCATTTCGCAAAAAAAAACGCGCACACGCGCGTAATGTCTATTGTATGTCCATCTGATAGGAGCATTCGATCCTATTTGCCTATTTGACCACCACTTCCTACATTTTGCTATACATTGTCACGCATTAACTTACAGCCATCTTGAATGGACCTGGCCCTCTGGGACTTGAGAGTTATTTCATCCCAGATTCAAGTCTGACAGCTTCCAGTGAGTTTAGTGATTCACATCTTGCAAACAGAGGTCGTCTTAACGTGGTCAAAGTCGGGAACCTGTACGGAGCCTGGTCTTCACGAGTAAACGATGCCAACCAGTGGATCCAGGTAAGAAAATATTTTTTTTAATGACAATTCGGACACGACAAATTTAGGCAACCCCTTATTTCTATAGCATGGGTTCATATCCCACTGCTGCCACCGTATCAGTAATAAAAGGGTCAACAGTCAAATTTTAGGCAACAGTTTGATTTGTATCCATACTGCCACAAAGTCTGTATTAAGAGTCACCCGTCATTTATATGCATGGCATGAATTCATATTCCACCGCTACCACCATGTCAGTAACCAAAGAGTAACCAGTCAGTTATATGGCATATGGGTTCATATTCTACCGCTGACACCAAATCAACAATGAAAGAGTCACCAGTCATTTTTATGGCACTATTCACTTACATTGTTAAAATCGTTAATATTAGCCACTTTTTGAGGTGACATATGGGTTCGTAGATTTTCTCTCCACTCTGTACGTAAAGGTACTATAAGATTGCCATAGTTACATAATTATGCACATCCAAGTCAAGGGCATTAATCTAATTGTTCGATATTACTCAGAAATGAGATCGACAATTAAAGCATCAATGTGGAGAACTTCTAATTTAGATATTGCCCTTGGAGGGGCAGAGCTGCATTAAAGCAAGGTAATGTCATTGATAGGTGCAAAGAAAGGAACCGTTCTTAGTATTTGTATTTAAATCGTATAGATTTGACACATTTTGGAACATGCTCATTGGTTCAAAGTTTTGTCATGGAGATAGAAAAAATAGATGATTAGGAGGATGAACATCAAGAAAGCTTCCTCCGATTCTTTTCTTTCTACAAGGTGGATCTTTTGAACCGTTACAGTATCACTTCAGTTGCGACTCAAGGGCGACAAGATTACAACCAGTGGGTAACAAGTTACAAACTTTCTTGTAGTACTGATTTCACGACCTTTCACACCGTGCAGGACATCTCTACAAACCCTGCATATGACGAGGTAAGTTTGTTCTCTGATTATTCATTTTTTTATATTACATTGACTCTATTCTTGTAGGAATTTGAAGGCATTTAGTATCTTTTTGATAACAATTAAAATATTTTTTATTACGATACTTTTTTTCAAGGAAAAAGGCCATCGCTACCTCAGGAACACATATACATTTAAGGTGTAGTATATACTACTCTGCTTACACAAAGTATAAGAGGGAAAAACTATTAGGTAGGATTGTCAGAGCAAGTAATGCACTTCAAGCAAAAAATATTATTACTAGGTCTCGAAAACTAGAAATTGGTGTCATCAGAATAAAACTTCAAATAGAAACGAATGGACAGGCACTGGACATGCAAAAATATGTATTATTCAGCATGCTTGTCAATTCGATTCTCTTTTAGTTCGATTGCAATTGACCGCAGAATCATTTGAGTCATAATTAATTCAAAAGTGGATTGATTTTCCTTTTTCATTGAAGGTCTTCACCGGTAATGTTGACCGCAACACCATCGTGACCAACACTCTGCCTGTACCCCAAATTTGCCGCTATGTCCGCTTGATGCCTGTCAGCTGGTTCGGCCATGTCAGTCTTCGTATGGAGATCTACGGTGAAGCTAGCCCTTTCACAGGTCAGTTTTAAAACAAGTGATACTTCAACATGATTTGCTCCATATTCAATTTCTCCTGCGACAATTACTCTGGGCCTTTTTTCACCAATAATAGAGGCATAGTGCTACGGTTATCATTAGGTGATACGTACGTAGTTATACGTATCAACTACAGATTTCGTCAATATTTGTCTTCATTAGGTGATACTTGCGTAGTTATACGTATCACCTTTTGATTTTGTGAAGATTTTTCTTTATTATTATTCATTCTTCCTCGAATTTGTTCGCAGGATATCTCAAGAATGGATATAGCCATTGTCATAAAACGTGATGATAGATCATAGTCTAACTTAGAACTGTGTGACTCAAGATCTTTTTGACGTCATCCAGGCGCCATATTGTAAAAATCAACTCATGATCGTATCTTCATAACGGAAAGAGATTAGTAATTTATTTTTATCATGATTAAGGTCAATAACCCTCCGGTCAATTACAGGTCATTAAACGCGTATGTCCGCGCGCGCAAAATTTAAAATTGCTCCAAATCGTCTCAAATTCATTTTACACACGTTACATGCCATCTTGAGCATTTAAACAAATTAAAAACCGCGCGAACGCAAATTGCCATTCTTCTTTCTTCATGATATTTTCCATACTTTTCCGAACAATTTGATACCATCCCAATAAACAAAACACTAAAAAGTAACCTCTTTTGGGAGTGTATTTTAAGTGATTTTAAAGTATGGTGCCTTTTGAACTAAATTTAAACGTTATCGACACGTGCTTTCATTTAAACAAAAAAGGTACTCCTGTTCACGTTTTCATCTAACCTAAAAACCACCAATGTATCACGCGACTGGAGTAACGTGATTCCACTTACCTCTGTAAATCACGTGTTTATGACCAAATAACCACTTGACCAAGCAACGAGTTTTTTGTCCGTTAACCGATGGTGGTGATAAATAAGTAATTATTTGGTCTTGTAAGCACCTTAATCGATTGGTTTCACAGGTTATCCAAGGTTGATGGTAATAATCACGTTACTTACACCGGCTAATCGTCTTATTGTTCTGTCCGTGAATCTCTGGTTATTTTAAATTAGTAATTCTGAGGTGTCTTACACACCTCTTTAAATGGTTTCAAAGTTACCATAACTTTCTTGGTTATGATCACGTAGCTAAAACTGATTACTAATCTAAGCTGTGAATCCGTGATATTTAGGTGTGAAAAATTAGTAATTATTAGGTGTCTTAAAACACCTATTTAAATGGTAGTCAAAGTTGCCAGCAGTTCCGCGGTGATGATCTCGTGACTCAAACGGATTATTAATCTAAGCTGGGCATAAGTGACTTTTAGGTGTGAAAAATTAGTAATTATTAGGTGTCTTAAAACACCTTTTTAAATGGTTTCAAAGTTACCATAACTTTATTGGTGATGATCACGTAGCTAAAACTGATTACTAATCTAAGCTGTGAATTCGTGATATTTAGGTGTGAAAAATTAGTAATTATTAGGTGTCTTAAAACACCTATGTAAATGGTAGTCAATGTTGCCAGCAGTTCCGCGGTGATGATCTCGTGACTCAAACGGATTATTAATCTAAGCTGGGTATTCCGTGATTTCCAGGTGTGAAAAATGAGTTATTCTTGGGTGTCTTGATGGTTTCACAGTTACCATTTAAGTTCCGTGGTGATAATCCCGTGTCTGTTGGCATATTTCTATTTTCACCAGTTGATAACTGACTGTTGGCAACTTTTCATTGCACCAGTTGATAACCGGTCTGTGTGCATATTTCCAGTTGCACCAGTTGATGACTGCTGGCTGACTGTTGGCATGATTCCAGTTGAACCAGCTGACACAAATTAATTTGCATATTGAATATGGGGTGCGTGCAGATCTATGTTTTTTAAACAGTTTATCTGAATTTACAGCATATTTCTTAATTACTGATGATTTAGTTATATGCAATTCATTATGAAAATACTACAAATATAAATTACCAGTTATTGGGACATTTCGCTACTTCGTATAAATTACATTTAATTAAACATGAATAAGGAAAACATTAACTAGAACTAAAATAATTTCAATAAAATACAAGTATATGAAGAAAAAAAAAATCGATTTAATTATGTAAGTCTACTTATTACCAATGTCTTTACATTGGAAATACAGACGTACCAGTATTGAAGTGTTGTTGCCGTTCAACTGGTTGGAAGTTTTACCAAATGGTTCTAATGGCTCAGCTAGACCAGTTATATTCTAACTGGTCTGGATCAACTGGATCATTTAGCCCATTTCAATTTCCGGGGTTACCAGTTATCATTAACTGGTTAATCAACTGGACCAGTTGCAACTAGCTTTCTCCTCTGGGATGTTTGCAACCACCCCCCCCCCCACCCCCCTCTAATCCCAAACTGCTTCCGGCGCGCCTGGACGTGATTATGGAAGATCCAAAACACGATGTTCAGAAACGGGATGAGAACGTCATTATTTTGGTTTATTTATTGTGTAACATTTGCGTAATTATCGGGTTGAACGCGGGTTACAGTAATATATTTCCTCTTCGACGTAATATTCACGTGAATTTCACGCAGATATTTTGACTAAAACAATCACTAACGCTTCACGTGTTTTTGTGACGCGATAATTTCGTTTATGAAGATGTAATTTCATAACCAAAAAAACACGGGAGTATTAAACCATGGTCTCCAAGGTAGGGATAATCACGTTATTATAATGGTGATATTGCGGTGACAATTGCGTGATTTAGTGTACGTGTGTTTTAAGTGACCTAGTGCAATAAACGTATTAACACATTTACGTAAATGTCCGGTGTTTGAAGAACGTAACTCTCCTCAAGTCGATACCTTGATATTGACGTGATTTTCACGTGATTTTGTTTATTGGGATGTCTATACCTTTATGACAAACTGACGGGGGCGATTATGCAGCTCACGGATGCGAATCGCCCACCGCCCCCGTGTATTTTGAGCGCTGCTTGCCTCCCATTCCAGCGACCCAGATTTGATTCCCGATGCGTTAAAACATGTTTTTATATTTTATATTAAAATCGTGAAAACGCGTTCTTCATTATGTACATTAGAATACGTATTACCTAATCATGTATAGTAATGATTTGTAATAGGCAAGGGCGACAATCCGGTGGGGGGGGGGGGGAAAATGAGTCCGTAATACAGTGGCTTCGATGACGATAAGGTAACCTTTGATTGCTAGAGTTAATTTAACTTCGTGCTAATTGATAGCTTTTCACAGCAATTTCATTAGCTGATATCATTAGAGGAGTAGATTTATAATAAATTTGCTAAAGGTATATACATGCTAGAGTACAAATGAAACATTTGCAAGCCTATGCCTATGCACGCCCACCATGCGCTAGAGCTTCGCATCACCGTTTCGAATTTCGCACCCGTGTAAAATATTTAGTACGCGTATAGCTTGTTATTAGGGACTTTTAGATTGAGTGGACGAGAACACGACGAACGCCGACTGATCATGCGTGTCAACGTACTTAACTGCCCGAGTTGACTACAATTAGAAATCTTTTAGATTACACTCGACGATATACATGCATGCAGGAAGTAACACTATGAATATTATGGACAAAGAAAGAGGACAAAATATACAGTTGCTCATTCTACCCTCAACAAAAGAACATCCGTTCACTGCTATTATGTAAGAATGTGTAGAACAGGTGAATATGCATGTGACACCTGTTCTACACATTTTTACATAATAGCAGGGAAGGGATGTTCCTTTGTCTACCTGAGGAACTGTATACTTTATGCGCACGCGGCATACTAGTACCTTGAGCATGTAAAGGCGCTTTATAAATATCAATATGTATTTATGTATGTACTAGATTTAGGAAAATCAAGGTTGACGCATTCTCGATCGCCGACTGAGACGACGTAACGCATGCGCAGTGCCTAAAAATGACGTCACACGTTGCAGTCAAAGCTGTTGACGTGCAAATCTAAAAGTCCCTATTGACAAGATGAGCTCCGATTTGCTGTATGCAAATGAGTTCATCCTGGGGTCCAGAGCTCAAGTGGGAAAAAAATTACGCGGGCGGGGTACACGCGCCCATCAACTGGACTCAAATGTGGCGTGTTAAAACTTGTGACCAGTGCGAGTACGTCGATCTAGTTTATCTTTGGGCCGGGTTTCGGCTAATTAAGCTATAGATTGCTATAATACTCGGGGGGGGGGGGTTCTAGTTTAACAGACAACTTCTTGACAGTGGGCTAACATCACAAATATAACTTTACTGTGCTTTAGTATTAAGCCCCATTTTTGAGCAGGGCTAGCGCTACATTTTTAGTTTATTAGTATTATTATTATTATTATTTATTTCATTTATTTACAATGTATTTATTGTATTTATTAGGTGGTCTGTCGTTTTCGACAGATCACCTATTGTTTTCGTCAGAATTTTCTTTCTTCTTTATTATTTATTATTAGGTGGTCTGTCGTTTTCGACAGATCACCTATTGTTTTCGTCAGAATTTTCTTTCTTTATTTCTTTATTTCTTTATTAGGTGGTCTGTCGTTTTCGACAAATCACCTATTGTTTTCGTCAGAATTTTCTTTCTTTATTTATTTATTTATTTATTCTTTATTTTTATTTATTTCCTACACTTTTTTGTGCCTAGGATAACTCAAGTTCGGTTTAGTCAATTTGATTCAATTTTGGCACAGTCATAGGTCATTGTCATGAGACTTCTGGATGACGTCATCAAGACTTGATGACCTTGAAAATGTTCCTGTCACGTCTCATGATAATGACCTATTTTTGCGTGTAATCCTTATGGGAGATGACTTTTTCTCAAATCTGGATTTTACTTTCTTGTCTTTTGCGAGCAATATCGCCATTTTTTCTGCTTGGTTTTTGTTGATTTTTGAGTATGTTGTAGCTGAGACTATATATCTAAATGTCCACTCATTTTTTCAATCAGATGTCAGGATCATGCTCACGA